AAGAACAGAGTTGCATTTTATTAAGCTGAAAAATACTGGTGGAGGAGTGGGTTTTGAGAGGGGAAGTGTAAATCAGGTTGCTTTTTAAAAAAATTGATTTTTAGAGAGAGAGGAAGGGAGAGGGAGAAAGAGAAACATCAATGTGAGAGTGAAACATCAGTTGGTTGCCTCTTGCATGCCCCCTACTGGGGACCAAGTGCACAGCCTGGACATGTGCCCTGACTGGGAATTGAACCGTCAACCTTTCTGTGCACAGGATGATGCCCAACCAACAGGCCAAGGCAAATCAGGGGTTTTGTACATGTTAATATATGCCAATTAGACATCCAAGTGGAGATGCTGACTTGTTTGGAGCTCAGGAGAGTGGAGTGGATTATAAATAAAAATTTGGGAATTCCCAGAATTAATAGGGTACTTAAAGCTGATGGACTGGATGAAAATACTGAAGAAGTGAGTGTAGATAGAGAAGTGGAAATACCTGTGGGTTCAAACCCTGGGGCACTCCAAGGTTTAGAAATTAGGAGAATAAGGCCAGCAAAGAAGACTGGCAAAGAGTAATTTGAAAGGGATAAGGGGAACCAGGAGAGATGTGCCCTGCAAGCCAAGCGAGGAAAGTGTTTCAAGGGGAGAGGAGTGATCACCTGTGTTAAACACTGCCACAGGGTTAAGCAAGATGAGGACTGAGCATTGACCATGGGTTTGGGAACATGGAGGTCGTTGGTGGCCTTGATGAGAGCGGTTTCAGTGGAGTGGGAGAATGAAAGGAGAGCAAGTGCAGAAGGTAAGAACTGAGGCCCTTTCAAGATATTGATGTTTTTCAATAGCTGGTTTACTGAACTACATGCAACAAGCCCCCCTGCAGTGCTTATTTAAAAAATAGACTTGGGGGGCCCCACTCCAGAATCTCAGGGGTTGGCATCTTGTGATCTTCATTTTTATTGAGTCTCACGGGTGATACTGAGGAACACTAATATTTGAAAAGTGATGTCCTCCCCTATTCACTTTATCTTACATCTAGTCTAGTCACGATTTGACTTAAGATATATTATAAAAATGTTCCATTTGTGTAATCCAAGTGAGTATTGTTTTGGATTATTGTTTGTCCTGGACTCATTCCTATATTTCCCATTAGCCTTTTTATTTCCTGAAGTTTTAAAGAAAACCTGGGCAAAGAAATTCCACAATCCCAAAGAATAACAGCAGATAAACACATTTCCTTCCATGATGGCTCCTAGGAAGATCACAAATTTTGAAATTCTGAGAATCTGCATGTTAACTTCCCAAGGGTTTTGAAAATGGAAAGACAAAATTCATGTAGGTTCAGGAAGAATTCAATGTTTCATGGGTCACTAAAGTACTTAAATTACTATGCTTCTCCATCAAGAAAGACGGAGAAATTGTTCTAGTTAGGTCTAGTGGGGGGTTGAGGGCCCCTGGGCCTCCCTTATCACTAGATCAAAGGCTCCACTGTTCAGCAGTGTCTGGAAATTGCTCTTTTCTGACCTGAGACTTTGGCTCTAGAACCAGATATGTTTTAGAAAGAACAGTGCAGTGTGAAGGAACAGAGGCAGCAGCAATTTAAACTCACGTTTCTTCCTGCTGAGTTCCACAGAGAAGCTGGGCCCCACAGGATTGTGGTTTTGGGAAGAGGTCTTCTGAGTTGTTGGTCTTTCTCTCCTCAATCATCCATTGTTTTCTTACAGCTTCCTCAGGCCTGGAGACTAGTGCCCGTGTCCCCTCCCTCTGGAATCTTTACCCTTTATCACAAGGGAAGTTTTTACCCCCTTGGTCCTTTCTCATATCTTGTAAACTCTAGAACTTTGATGCTAATGGAGCTTCTTGCTGCTTAGGCATTTTGGCTCCAGAAGTGAATGGGATGAGGTGCGATCTAATCCTGTTAGCGAGGGCCCCAATTCCAATCTTCTCTTTAGTGAGAGTTGCTACTGGTTTCCTCTCTAGTTTACTTAAGAAGCAAGAGACTACTAACAACACTTATCTTAGAGGTAAGACAACATAGCTAGCTAACAGAGGTATACAGAAATTATATGCCAGTTACTTCTGTGTGTACTTATGTGTCCAAGGCAACTGAAAATGTGAAAGAGACTAAACAACATTATGAAATGGTGTTTGTAAGTCTAGTTGTGGATGTGTGTTTAAATATGAGTACCCCAAAATGACTAAAATGGTCAAAGCAATGATGTAAACAGACAAAAAAATAAACACATAGATAATAGAACACCGAAAAATCCCAGCAAAATCCTGTAAACCCAACAGCTCCTGGGTAAACATTAATNCAAACAGACAAAAAAATAAACACATAGATAATAGAACACCGAAATCCCAGCAAAATCCTGTAAACCCAACAGCTCCTGGGTAAACATTAATAGTTGCCCATCAAGTAAAATCAAATCTGTGAAAAAGCTGAGAGAGATAAAGGCTAGAAAGTGTGGCTGGTGAGCTTGCAAATGTTCTGTGAAGACATAAGGACAAACACCATCAAGATTCCAAGTCTACAGGATATAAGAAGCTAGACCAAAGCNTAGTTGCCCACCAAGTAAAATCAAATCTGTGAAAAAGCTGAGAGAGATAAAGGCTAGAAAGTGTGGCTGGTGAGCTTGCAAATGTTCTGTGAAGACATAAGGACAAACACCATCAAGATTCCAAGTCTACAGGATATAAGAAGCTAGACCAAAGCTGGCCTTTGCCAAGGATGTCTCCACAAGAAAAGAAAGCTGCCAGCTGAGCAGAACACTTAACCTCAGCACCTTCTACTTGAGAACCTTCATTGGCTCTAACATGCAGGCAATGAATGGCAACACCTGGCGTGGTGAATACGTGTGCATCATTCAGCAGAGTGGGTACATATTGAGATTGGAATTTTGCATCACCTGTAATTTATGTCAACGCTCCTCAATTTGGGGAATTCCCTTTTCCCATAGTGCTTGTGGTTCTCCCATTGGAAGAATCTCCAGGAAGACAGTGATCTTTGAGATCAGTCTTATTAGTGTATGATATCACAGCTGATGGTGTTCGTGGGTAGTTTGCAATATTAACTGCACTTTTACTTTGCATATTTGTACCAAGTGCCTCTTTGACCCAAAATGCAAATCTATGCAAAACAATGCACAAATTAACGTCACTCGGGTGCTTAAAAATAACAGACAAACAGGACAGGTACACCGGTTCTAGCCAATGGAAAAGCTTTGAAGTCTGGGCTGATTTCTTCGCCTGATAATCACTCAATGTGTTTTTTATCAAACGGGGTGAAGTTCATTTCTTTTAATAATATGTGGTTTAAAAAAACATACAAAATTGTAACCTTTCCTTTGGTGACTAGATCTGTCAGATGTTTCCCAAATGTACTTCTTTCTCTTAAAAGATGCAGCAGTAACACTAAACAGACAGTCATTATTGCATAATTAATGCGTAGCAGGTGGATCCAGCAATTTCAGTTCGGAATCTCTGCTCCAAATAATCCTTAAGCGCCTTGCCCTGTCCTACTCCCACTGCATCTCCCATCATGCCTGAGAACCACCCCCGACACTTGTAAATAGCGCAGTGGACACAATTTAATTTGCCTTTGAGGACAGCTCTTAAATGAACTGCAAAGGGAGAAGGCAGGCATTCTCAGCTAAATATATGTGTGTATCTATGTGCAAACACACACATTTGTTTTCTTCAGACCTCATTCTCAAAGCTCTTTATTACCTGTGCAGTTCAATACACCTTCTTTAATATTCTGCATCCCATCTAACACCTGCTTGTTAATTTTATTCGATTCTCAGCTAGTCTTTTAGCAAGTGAAGGCAACCCACTCAAGTGATATAAAAGGAGTTTTGTTTTTTTTTTCTACCCCTTATCCTTTTACTAACACTAATCACATACCTACCATATGCTCTCCAAGACACTGGCTCCCATTCTTTTGTTAACTTTTCTCGTATATCACCCAAGGTCAAGTTTCCTTTGTTCAGTGCGGACAATACCGCAGGCCAGGAATGGAATGATATGGAATGAATATCTGAAAGCAATACTTCCTGATCCCTGGAAAGTGTCCCTTCACTTGTGCACACTGACAGTGGGAGGGAGGCCCCACCAGCGCGTCATTAGTCATCCTGCTTTTCTCAAGTGTGGCAGGTCTTCTTTTCCTACTAAGTTACCTTCCTGATTGAAGGGCTACCTGACATTGTCTCAATTATGTTTCTATTAAGCTTTCTTCTTCTCTAGCTCGTCCTAACAGCTTAAAAATTTTTTTTTAAGTTACAAAGTAAAGATCTTGTTTTGCTCTCCTGATAACCAGCTTGGGCAACTCTTGTAATTTCTCTAACCCTCAATTTTCTCCTCTGTTTCAAAAGATAATTAGATTAAATCAATTCTAATGTTCCTTTCAGCACTGATGTTTTCTGAGTCAAGAGGTAAAACGGCTCAGGAGAAAGATCTGGGCTGTTTTAGAGCTTGTCTGCACTCAGCAGTACAGTAAGAAAAATGCTTGCTCAAAGCACCTCCCACTTATTGAGCACTTACTATATGTTGAGCAGTCTGTTAGATCTTTACACACACAATGTTTCATTTAATTCTCATAGCAACTCAGGAGGTAAACAGTATTACTTTTACTAAACCTGTTTTATAGATGAAGGTACTAAGACACAGAAAGGTTAAGTAGCTCTTTTAAGATCGTAGGGTGATTGGCATAGCAGGAGTGTGACCACCAAGCACATGTGTTTAATCATTTCGTTATTCTATTTCCCAAATCACTTGCTGTTTAACATTGCCAGCTAATCTCCAAAAGCCAATTCGCAGGCTTCCATCTTGAAATCAGAAGGTCTGGGATCCTACTTTGTCTCCATTGTTTACTGGGTCATCAGCCAAATTGTGTAACCTCTTTGAGCTTTAGTTTTCTCATTTGTAAGGGAAGGAAATAATATCTATCTCACAGTGTTGAAAATAAAAAAGAAGTTGTGTGTCGGCAGTTGCCTGATTCTCTATCCTGCTTCTCTCTACAGTGGTCAGCACTTAACCACCACCTGCAGGTTCAGCCCCAGCCCAGGCTTGAGAACCAATCCTTCCTCTGTGGGAAGGGCTTAAAGACCTGCAGTTCAGTGCTGAGGGGGATTCAACATCAACCATGGTTCCTGCTGGACCTGATGGCTCAGTTGTGGTAAGTAGGCCTCCTCCCTAAATGCAGCAGGGGAGAGTTGTTAAATGGGCCCTGGGATAGTACTGTCTGTGTTTTAATCTCAGCTCTGCCCTTACTAATGAGATTGGGTAAGTTACCTCACCTTTCTGTGACTCAGTTTTCTCATCAGTAAAATGGGCAGAATAATAGTTGCTATTGCAGAGGGCTATTGTAAAGATTTAAATTTAAAAATATAAAATAGGTACAACAGTGCCTGGCAGATAGTGCCTGGCAGATAGAACTTAAGTGATTTAAACTTAACATTATTATATATAAATGACATCAATTATATACTTACATTATTATTAACACTAATTAGGTTCCTGCTTGGTTGCCTCAGGTCCTTCCCGGGTCACTTGCCAAGTCTCTCTGGGGCTGCAGCCATCATCGCAGTCCTGCGCTGGGCTGGAATTCCTGCCACTGACCCCTTTCCCCGAGCTGAGGCCTTGCATTCTGCTGAGGACATCCTCGATGCTGGCTGCCCTCCCACATCTCTGAATACTGCCAGCTCTGGTATTCTCCAAGATGGTGCCCTGGTGGTCTATGTGGTTCCCTGGTGGTGCAGGCCACTTGTCTAGACCACGTGTTGCCATCACATGTTCCCTGGAGCCTGTTTTCTGCCCTGTGCTGTACCTTTCCCCACTGCTATCCCTTGAGCTTGTTGACCAGGTCCTGAGCCGTACAGTGTATGTGTTCAGAAGTTACCAGGTCGGCTTGACACAACCTTATAAAACAATTTTGTAAAGCATCATGCAAATAAAACGGGTATGAATCTAGTACACAACTCAGAAGGTAAGGGATACTTTATCTGCTTCTTTTGGTAACAGCTTTATTGAGATATAATTCATATAACATATAATTCTCCATTTAAAGTATAAAACTTAATGAGTTTTTTTGGTACATTCACAGAGTTGTGCAATCATCATAGTTAATTTTTGAACATTTTCATCATATCCCCCCTCCCCCAGTCAAACCAAACCCTGCTCTCCTTTAGTCACCCCTTATTTCCCCTAGCAACCATGAACCTACTTTATGTCTGTAGACTTGCCTATTCTGGACATTTCTTATAACTGAAATCATACAATATGACAATATGTGGCTTTTTGTGACTGACTTCTCTCATTTAGCATACTATATTTAAGGTTCATCCATGTTGTAGCATGTATTAGTACTTCATTCCTTTTTATCACCAAATAATGTTCATAATTCTCTACTTTTAACTCAATAGTTAGTTTTGATCCTGTGCCCCCATTCCAAGGGGTTAGTGAGAAATTCAACTTGTCATTCTTGGGGTTTCCCATCTGAGGCGGTGCCAAGATTCCAGACTCTCAAGCATAGTTGAGACATCTCAGAGGCCCAGGAAGGCATCAGCCATCTGTCTACCCAGGTTACTGCTGAGATGCACTGTTTCCCTCTGTGGTCCTTTGTGGGTCTCCCCTCTGCCACTTTTGTGCAGCCTTTGTCAAGTGTGGGAACTGTTGTGGTTGGGGAAGCCTGGGCCAATGTTCTGCCTCTTGTACTGGTGGCCAGTTTCTCTGAGGTCCTGCTGTGTCCTTGCACTGGCAGGGAGTCAAGCAGGTCACAGGGGACCCTAGACTTTGACTTCTCCCCCAAACCAGAGAAACTTTCATTTTAGACTGGGGATATTTATCCCCAGATGTAACAGATCCTCTTTAATGCCCTCAGGCTTTTGAAAACGAAACTGGAGAATTCCAACCTCCAAACTTCCCCTAAGGCAAGGGAGCACAGAATGGGAATTTCCAAGCCGAAAATCAAAAGGGGAAAACACAATTGACTTAAAAAAGTTATCTTGTGTCAGAGTTCATTCTCCTTGTTCAAATCTCTGTATCCAGATAGGCATATAGAGCATTCGAGACTTTTATCCCACTCTGCCTTTTCTTATTTCCCATTCCAGTCACTGCTGGCTCTTCCCTGTGCCACCAGCCCACCTGCCACTGCTCCCTGACAGCTTTTTAACTCCCACAAGCCACCGTGAGGACATGCTAGGCAAAAGCCTGGGATCTGCTGCTTGAATTTTTACTTTAATGAAACTCTCTTTAGTTGTGAAATAAAAATGATCTCATCTATGCTATTAAAAATGTAGGATTTGCATTTCTGTTATATAGTTCTATTTTACATTTTTCCATCTCTATTACACAGTTCTGTTATATATTTCTATTATAACTATCGAGTGGACCAGGTTTTGGTCTCAGGATTCCTTTACACTTTTAAAAATTATTGAGAATTCTGAAGAGCTTTTGTTTATTTGGATTCTAACTATAAATAAGAACCATATTAGAAATCAAAACAGACATTTAAAAATATTTATTATTAATTCATTTGAAAATAATAAGTCCATTACAGGTAGCATAAATATCATTTTTATTAAAATATCTTTATTTTCTAAAAGAAAAAATAGTGAGTAGCATGTCATTGTTTTATATTTTTTGCATTTTTAAAAAATCCTCACCTGAGGATATTTTTCCCATTGCTTTTCAGAGAGAGTATAAGGGAGGTAGAGAGAGAAAAACATCGATGTGAGAGAGACACATCAATTGGTTGCCTCCCTCGTGCGCCCTGACTAGGCCTGGAGATGGAGCCTACAACTGAGGTACGTGCCCTTGACCAGAATCAAACCTGAGACCCTTTAGTCTGGGAGCCGACACTCTAACCACTGAGCCAAACCAGTTAAGGCTGCAGTTTTTTAAAATGTCTGGAAATAGAAGACAGTTGGACTCATATTGGCTTTTGAATTCAATCTGTTATACGTTGGTTTTGTCGAAAAACATGAAGAAAATCTGGCATTGACGAGATATATAGTTGAAAAAGAGAACAGTACTTTAATAGCTATTTTGGATCATTGTAGATGCTACCCCAAACTTTAGCAAGAGGTAGTTTCTTAAAGGTTATTTGGCAACAAATATTGCCAGATATTTTCTCTGAAGATACAACCTCACTTTGTTCATTTTCAAAAAAATATCAGCCAAATACCTAAATCTGAAAAAGTTATTTTTTCAAGTAAAAATGAGGTTTCGTGAAAAAAAAAAGCAGTTAGTTTAGCTTGCAACCCAAACAATAACACAAGCATTTTTCCTAGAGACAGCCGTGCTACCTCAGGATGGAACAGGAGTGTTTTGTGCTTACTTTCCAGTCTCTTACATAGCAAATTACAAAGACTTTCACTGAAGTGTTGAGATTTAATGAAATTAATAATTTTTAATGCTTCATCAAGGACATTCTTAGGTAAAACTGCCTGTCTCCCTCCCTCCC